CTAGATCAGGGAACAAAGGCACACTTGGCCAAGAAAGGCAGCTGGTCTCTGGCCTCAAGCTACCGTCCACTTATGTAAGTTATGGGCGCATATACTTCATTGTCATGATTGTGCTGTTAAGTCATGTAAGTGTTGTACATAATGTACATGTAGTCGAGGCCACAAGCTCTGCGGCTGTGGCCAAGACCGAGGCCGAAGCCACAACTCCAAGGCCAAGGCCGAGGCCACAACCTCCGAGTCCAAGGCGACAGCCCCCCATGAAACCTTGTCGCCCCCCCCCCCAGTAGCCCCCCCCCCCCCCCCACCACTGAGATTTTGAGTTCTCTGTTGCTTCCCCGTCACTGTAGCGGTCCGCTCCCGCTTCAGTCCGGCCGTCTCTGCGAAGCGATAGCTCGTACCGTGCCGTTTGGCTTACTTGGTTTCCCTCAGTTAGTGTTGTGAGACTCCGACACCGGTGTTGTAACCAAGGAAAAGCCTGATGTTGGAGGAATCCCCACACAGTTTAATAAACCAGTAAAGTCACTGTGTGAAAGCTCTGTTTCCCGCCAAATTCGTTATCATAGATAATAATGTTGATTCTAATATAAAGTTAATGAACTAATAGGGAATGCAACAATAATTTCAGGAATGAATTGCAGGGCAGCTCCGTCGCACAGCCTTTAACGTGTCACCACTTGAAACTTAGAACTGATAGACACATGGATTACAAGATAAGAGAACTGTTCAATTGCCTCATTGATGTTCTCCGAAGTCACCGTGTTAAAATTAGAAAAAGTTTTAACTATGGAAAGCTGTGAATCTTTTCTTTCAAAACTGAGAGAGGAATTATTGCAGTCATATTTATTTTATCGTCAATGTAACATTGTGTCTTATTTCATTTTGTTACCGGGTATTTTCTTGTTGTTTCTTTAGTGTGTAAATTCTCTAGGGGAATGGATGGGATTGCTTTTGTTTCTCGGTTTTGTTTTGTTTTGTTTGTGGTACTAATAATCTTTTTAGCCCGTTTGTCATTCATTCCCGTTATTGAGTCTGGTTGTTTGTTTTGTTTTGTTTGTTTGTTTGTTGGGTTGTAAGAGTATTGATGTATTAGTTCGTTTTTATGTTTTTGTATCTGCCTGGTTTGTCTAATGTTTCACTCTATGATTTTTGTGCTGAGTCTTGTCTCATCTCCCCGTCTTGTCTCGTCTCGTCATGTCTCGTCATGTCTCGTCATGTCTTGTCTTGTGTGGTTTTGTATGATTTGTACAATTTACTTTTCAATAGTACTTTAATTTTTATCAATGGCATTTTAAATCTGCTTTATTGGCAGGGGTTGAATAATCGTCTGATGACAGTTGTTTTTTTACTTTTACATATATCCGTGGCAGCCTGTCCAACTTTTAGCTTTTATTTTAGCCTATGTTTTAAGATTTAAAATAAAATAATTGAAACAAATAAATAAAATAAAGTTTCTTCAAGTCTTTATTACGCTGGAGATTTCCCGATAGCAGTACATATGAGAGGCAGCCCATATAGGCGCGACCTAATTCGGCCAAATTACGATTTGTATACTAGTTTATCTGTAATAATAAAGAATTTTGGCCCCTGCACTTGAGGGTCTGTATTTGTAGAAGTGAAGGGTCCATGTCCCTGAATTGGGATTTCTGAACAAAACATTTGAATGGAATCTATATTGATATGGAGTGGAAGGAATCTGTTTTTTTTTCAAAATGGCGATGGGGTGATCATCGTTATGGGAAAAATCACCCAAAAGTACTGAATAGAGTCTGGTGACTGTACATAGAAATTTCTTTGAATAAAAGTCAAATCGTTCATTCATGTGCACTTGTTATGCAAAGCAGGGGCAGTGGTTCAAGGATATCTATGTCGACTTGCAGAACGTGTGCAAGAACGCGACTTGAATGCTTTTATGTGTTCATAATACAACGACGCTGTTTAGTTATTTCACTGTGTGACACAGCGAGAAATTTTGGAATCATAATGGCGTCAGCGATACTTGCTGGGGAGCTCTTGCGTACGACTTTCTGTACTTTGGTACTGTTGTCTCCAGGACAATTGTGTGTATGGTAACCCGACGTACTTAGATTTTTAAAGACAAAATTGCCGACCTCAAACTTGTTAGTGCCATATTTGGCAACTATATGTGTGTTATTAGTTTAATTAAACAAATGAACAGGTTAATTAAACATACCGGTAGTACCATTGAAGGTACCTAAAAGTAAACATAACAGCAAAGACCGACAGACGAACATAAAATGTTACAAAATAAACATATTTGTCTGGATAATTTTTTAGGGCGTTACCGGCAAGTTAACACAAACTTGGTGTCAAATAGATCGTGGGAGTAACTTTTCTTTGACTTTTCATACAAGTTTACATAAACTTTAACCGTATGACCTGCAGTGGCGTAGCTGCGGGGGGGGGGGGGGGGGGGGGGGCAGCCCCCATGAAACCTTGTCGTCCCCCAGTCGCCCCCCACTGAGATTTTTGAGTTTCTAAAAAAATTATCATTGATCTACATGACGCCCCCATGAAATGTTCCAGCCCCCCAAGCGCCCCCCCCCCCCACTGAAAAATTCCTGGCTACGCCACTGTTGCCCTGTATGTCCTCTTGTAACGTTCTTCAAATTCTTCCTGGCCATTGCATCCAAACCCTATGATCCGAGAATTCGTGTTCATTTTGATGAACTGAGTGATATCATGCACGCACGTGGAAAGCTGAAGCGCAGGATAGACAGGTTTCGCGTTGCGCGAGCACGCATGCATGTGAATAACAGGTTGGTTCCCTGTCCCATTATCGCTTTGGCTAATGCCCACTTGTGTCTTCACTTGTTCAGGCCAGGGCCAAGAGTAGATTGAAATCAAATTTTCAGCGTACTGGCTAATGACATCATTGACGTGACATGGGGAGATTCGCTAGTAGCACTGGAACGAAGCCCCTGACTTAGATGGTGGTTTTCGCTTTTTTGGCCAATGTTTCCAATTTCCGTTGAAAGTACAAGCAAAAACTCAGCTACAGTACATTTGTGACCCGCTCTGCAAAAATGAGTCTGATGTCGCATAATTTGAATTCAAGCTTTTGCCATTTTGAAATGGAAACAGTAAAAATTTGCTCAAAATTTGGATTTTTTGTTTATGTTTTATTTTGGTTGTTTGATAGTTTTAGTTCAAATATCTTACACAGAAATGTAAATATTGTAAGAAAAAGAAAAAAAATTATGAATCTTTGGTGCTTTTCTTGGTTAGTTACAGTGTATTCGTCATTTTTCAAAGCCTTTTTTCTCCATTGAGACACTTCTAGCTTTGCAAAAACTTTACAGAATGAAACAAGCACAACAATGCAATCAAATGTCCTAGAGATGTCCATGATATACCAAATGAAAGCTTATTTCATTCCCATTTTATCAATGTAGTTAAAGGGAAAATACAACATTTGCAAACATCAAAAAATAAAACTACCAAATCATTTTGAAATACCTTGCTGGACTGTTAGTGAATGACAGTGTAAAGCATCCTGTAAAATCATGGCACCTGGTATACTGTCATTTTCAAGAAAAGTGGTATTTTTGTATCAATTTCCAACGCTGATCGGCCGATCAGCGTTGGAAAAAACTGGCTTTTTTCAAATACTGGCCCCAATTGACCATCGCACTTGTTTGCAATCGATTACAAACATATGAACGGGTACGAGCCAGCTAGACTGGTTCCCTGACCTTACAATTCCCCAATGTATGTAAACTGCTCTGCTTCTTCTTATATGGAGTCAGGGAACCAGACTACAGGAAAATGATTGTTTTTCTTGGTTTTTATAGAATTTTCGAACCCAAAACCTCAAAAAAGTCAGTGTAACTATATTTGCTATATATTTCCAACCCCCCAATTCCATCCATTTCTGAAAATTACAGCAAAAGCAAATGATGTATATTCCCTTTAACTCAAAATGTCAGTTTTGCCACAACAGACTCATTTTTGCGGAGCGGGTCACATTTATCATTTATTCAGCAGAGGACCCATGCAAAATAAGAAAAGGATCAAGTCGAACATGAAAAAACAAATTTGTTGCAACTCTGGGTGTGTACGCATTACCAGTTCATTCATTTGTGCGTATCTGCTTAAAGTCATATTGCGTTTCACGGAACCCTCTGTGGCAGCGTTTTGAAGGTTTGATGCGGTAAAAAAAATAAAAAGTAATTGAAATAGAAAACACATGAAAGTGGGCGGCCTCGAGCCGGCCTCGACCGATTCACCGAGGCCAGAACACTCCTTGCAAAGGCCTTGCACTCCGAGGCCAAGGCAGAGGCCATGAAAATCGGACTCCTGGCCGGCCTCGAGGCCGAGGCCGGCCTCAATACCTCCAACACTGACTGTTATTCGCTATCTCACTCAGCATAACATCCGATGCACATGAGCCACAGTACAGCACGGCTTCAGGAAGAGGCGTACGCCTACCTTTTTGTGGTGGTGTAATCTGAAGATTTTCATTGGGGTACGAGTGCAACTGATTAACGGTACACGTGATACAGGGATGATCCTAAGACTCTATTATCGCCAGACCATGTCCTAGTTACTCGGGCTATACTTTTGTCACTTGGGAGTTTAACAGATGACGACCATGCATGACATGTATACCTGTATACTATTTGTTGTTTCTAGATCATGCCCACTGAGCTGGTTCACTGCACTGATGTCACAAAATGAAGCGAACGTCCAAACATCTGCCAGATTTTGACAGGACCATCAAGACTGCAGGTACGCCTGCTGATGATGCTGGTACTTCAACCCGGCCGTCTACAAGTCAGATCCCCCAAACATCTGGAGTTACATCAAGGGAGGAGGGCGGTGGTACTTCCACCAGGCCGTCTACAAGTCAGATTCTACAAACTTCTGGAGTTACATCAGGGGAGGAGGTCTCCACTCAGCCTGCTGATGAAGCTGGTACGTCCACACGGCTGTCTACAAGTCAGATCCCCCAAGCATCTGGAGTTACATCAAGGGAAGAGGTTGCTGGTACTTCCACCAGGCCGTCTACAAGTCAGATTCTCCAATCTCCTGGAGTAACATCAGGGGAGGAGGTCGGCACTCTGCCTGCTGATGAAGCTGGCACGTCCACACGGCTGTCTACAAGTCAGATCCCCCAAGCATCTGGAGTTACATCAAGGGAGGAGGTCGCTGGTACTTCCACCAGGCCGTCTACAAGTCAGATTCTCCAAACTTCTGGAGTTACATCAGAGGAGGAGGTCAGCACTCTGCCTGCTGATGAAGCTGGCACGTCCACACGGCTGTCTACAAGTCAGATCCCCCAAGCATCCGGAGTTACATCAAGGGAGGAGGTTGGTGTCACTCAGTCTGCTGATGATGATTCTACCAGGCCGTCTACAAGCCACGCCGTTGGAGTATCAGAAGACGCATCCACTTGTACGTACAACTTACATTTTGCACTCATCCAAAATCTTCACTCTTCCGAATTCTTCACTCTTCACAAATTGCAATTTTTTGTCATTCTTGTTTTCAGACTCAGTAAACTCCCCGGTTAGACTGGCCCGTAATTCGGGTCCAAATTGGCCTAACAATTTTCCGGGTCAAAAATGACACTTTTACAGAGTCAAAAAAATGAAAAGTCTAATTTGGAGCCGGTTCCGGGTAATCTGACCCGGGAATTTGTTAAATGTTTTCAGTTTATTCCCATGCAGTTTTTAATACAGTTTGAAGTAATATCTGTTTGATCTTGTAGCGGAAATATCTGATCGGACTCTTTGGGGTGTCGCTCGGCGACTTGGTCACGATTGGAAGGATCTTGCAATACACCTCCACTGCACATATGCAGACATATCAACCTGTGAGGCCAACCACCCAAGAGATGTCAACCGTCAAAAACTCCAGATGCTTGTAGAATGGAAACAAAGGCAGACTACCACTGGATGTCAGATGGACGTGTTGTGTGGAGCATTGGCCAGGATCGACAGAAATGATATCGTCAAGTGTCTTCAAGGTAAGTTGGGTTAACTGTTGTAACTGTCCATGCGCATGCCCTCTTCAACCAGGCTTGCTGAAATTTCAACCGAATTGATTGAAACTTCCTATTCACTTTTCAATGGCACAACTACATTTTCTCATGAACATGTAGGTATATTAGTATGTTTTCTGGGACAAAATGAGAGTCAAGCTTATCTTCCTTCGATTAAAACGGTGTTTCAAATCCAATAACTTTTGCGTGTTTTTGCATTAAGGCTTTTCGAACCATCTTTAGACATTTATTTTCGCGTCAGTCACTTTAGAGTTAAATGTCCATCATTGCATTATGTCACAGATCACTTGGACTGATTCTCCGTAAGTGTTCGTTTCTTTTTCACATACTTGTAGTATATAGGAACCTCAAGCTATATGCTAACACTATTGACAATCATTTATCACCTCGCCTGTTTTATCGTTTAACTGTTTCTTTTTCAACATATGTGATTTCTATGGAGTGCATTGTATCCGCATTCTTTTGTTATCGTCTGTCATGTATATAGCTAGTTTCCTTACATTTGTACCTTTAACTTTATCACAGTCTTTATACGTTTTTATATATCGAACATATGAAGCTCTACATGTAATTCACAGTTCATTTTTGACAAAATAATGTTAAAAAGGTTGTCCAAAATACCAGACGATACTCCAAAATTTGATAAAGTTTTGGTTGAAGAAAAAAGTGCGTTTAGATGTTCCAAGATAAATTGACATGATCGTCATGTAATGTGGTTTTTAAAAATGTGACCCCCCAATTATCAAAATTTAACAAATCTACTTTTTTTTCTAAAAGTTTTTTCAACTGTATGATTTATTAATACGGACCATTAACCCCCCCCCTGTTTTGGTCGTATGTTACCCCTAAAAGGCTTTCATTGTAGATTCCCAATGTTAAATAACAAGATCCGCATCCTCCACCCCCTTTCCGCCTGGCCTATATTGTTTTCAGTCTGAATTGGGGGTCAGTCGGCAAACTAACCGTCAAATTAATTTAGTTGGGGATTCCCCTTTTATTGTGCAATTTGTTTGGAAATAACGCAACCTAGTATTTAATGTTGTTCATTTGTCCCGTCTGCTTCAGACATGGATCATAGTACGGGTCTGATGTCAGTCTGTAAATTCTCCGATCCCAACCCAAAAGAAAACACCCCTGGTGTTATACGTACATGTATTGACTGTAGTGTGGCGGCAACCAATCTACCCTGCGAGAACCGTAGAGTCGGACACTGAAAGATTCGAAATTTTTAACGTGATTATTCCATAACAAAATTTCGGCCAAAGTTTCGTTCAATGTTTCCTGTAAAATTAAATAATTTTCTGCATTGCTAAAAAAGTATGGACAATTCAACTTTTATCATAATCCAATTTCAAGCGAAATTGATCAAACGTTGTGTTAAGAGTGACAGCTAAATTGTGAAATTTGGCTCCGTAGTATGAACTCATAACAACCTTTAATTTTTGCTTTGTTTCAGGAAATGCACAACTTACTGATCTGGAGTACATCCAGCAGCTTGTTTTAAAATACAACATGGACACAACCAGCTCCATCCCTGCACACCCCTTGGATCCTTCCAGAACTCTGGATGTTGACCATTTTTCTCGACTAGAACTCACTCGGGCATTAAAAGGTAAACGAACATCAAACGATGAGATTTTGTTACCATCGGGGAAACGAACGTTGGATAAGGATGTAAAGGTTCTCCTCAAATCATGGGATGATATGCTTGAGCCAGAAGTAGTTGGGAATATTAAGGCCCTTCTTTCGGGTGGGGCAGGATTTGGCAAGTCAACTCTTTTCTTGAAAATAGCGCACACCAGCACTGATCCAAAATCCAAGATGGCAAAGTTCAAACTTGTGTTCTTAGTAAAGTTGAGGCAAATGGAAACAAGTTGCGTCCTTGAGGCCATATGTGACCAGATTTTACCTCGTGTTGAAAAGGCCGTTTTGAAAAAAGTTATTGATGATAACGAAGAGAAAACAGCTTTCCTATTGGATGGATTGGATGAGATCCCGTTGGACGTGCTCAATTCTCCGGCTCCAAAAGAAGGCTATGGGATCAAGGACATCTTGTTTAACAAGGTGCTGAGAGGCAGCACTGTCTTAGTCTCAACACGGCCACACATGGTGGACTTTGCCGTTAAAGGATACCCAAAGTACGCCCGTATTGAAACATTAGGCTTCACATTCGAAACTGCAAAGACATACATAACATCTTACTTTGCCGAAATTGATGCCGACAAAGGGAAATCATTAATTTCACACTTGACATCCAGCTCATTCCTACGCACACTGGCCAGAATTCCAATCATTGCACTCTTTCTGTGCATATTTTGGGAAAATCAGTCGGAATTGCCTGAGCAATTAACGGTGCTTTTCAAGGAGTTTGCTGAGGCTCTGGTCAGTCACCGGTGCAACGAAGGTGAGGACAAGGTGGAGGAGCTGACGCATTCAGTCTTATGTCGACTTGGACAAGTCGCTCTCAAAGGGCTACTAAACCCCGAGGGGGAAATGCTCAGGTTCTCCTCAAAAAAATTTGATGAGAAAGATTTGGAGGATGGTTGTAGGTTGGGCTTTCTTCACACAGAAAGTTTCACGAGTGGCTTGAAAGAGATAAAGGCAGCAGAGTTTCTACACAAGTATATCCAAGAATACTCCGCAGCATGCTACTTTGCCAATTTGCATCACACAAACGAAGATGATTTTAAGGAGGAGTTGAGGAAAGTCAATCCGTACAATGTCCGTGCCATGAAATATCTGCTTCGGTTTGTATGCGGCATATTGTCGGGGTCTCCGGCTACTGGGCTCATCCTGGAGCATGTACAAAAACAACTTATAGAGGAACGATGCAGTGACGAGGAAGGATCGGTTGGCGAAGAAGGTTCGGATGCCGAGGAAGGATCGGTTGGCGAAGAAGGTTCGGATGCCGAGGAAGGATCGGTTGGCGAAGAAGGATCGGTTGGCGAAGAAGGATCGGATGAAGAGGAAGAATGGAGTGACGACGAAGAACTGTTTGCACTGAAGAGGATAAATGAACTGCAGAACCTGGTACGCCTGCTATTGCTTGAGTCTGGTTCTAAAAGAATGGCTGTTAAGCTAGAACGACCTGACCAAATAGGCGAGGAAGCATTGAGTGGCGAGGAAGGATCGGTTGGCGAAGAAGGTTCGGATGCCGAGGAAGGATCGGTTGGCGAAGAAGGTTCGGATGCCGAGGAAGGATCGGTTGGCGAAGAAGGATCGGTTGGCAAGGAAAAATCGGATGGCGAGGAAGGATCGGTTGGCGAAGAAGGTTCGGATGCCGAGGAAGGATTGGTTGGCGAAGAAGGATCGGTTGGCGAGGAAGAATCGGATGGCGAGGAAGGATCGGATGGCGAAGAAGGATCGGATGAAGAGGAAGAATGGAGTGACGACGAAGAACTGTTTGCACTGAAGAGGATAAATGAACTGCAGAACCTGGTACGCCTGCTATTGCTTGAGTCTGGTTCTAAAAGAATGGCTGTTAAGCTAGAACGACCTGACCAAATAGTATGTGATAGTCATGAGGATCTCTTAGCGATGCACTATTACTCGAAGTGTCTGTCACTAATAGAACTTAAAGTCCTCATTGTCGACTGCAATTCGCATAATGATTTTAGGCTGCTGAGGGATATTGATGAACGACTGCGTGACCACACTTCTATGCGCCTTCGGGTTAATATCACATGTAGATCGCATGAAGACGTAATGCTGATGAGAGACATGCTACAGAGTGATAACATCAGGTCACTCAGGAAATGTTGGGTTATTAAAGTCAAGTATATCCCGTCTGAAAAAGCGAACAAGGAGTTGCAGTTCATAGAAAACACGCTTGAAGAGCTGGATGAGAGGCTTCGTGAACGAATAAACCTTTCCCTGGATATAAATGAGATGTCTCATTTCGATGATGACTGTGTGTTAGGATCCCTGTCCCGTGTATGCTGTCGGATCGGTGAGATCTTTTTGAGAAACCGAACGTATGAAGATTGCATTAGACTAGTGAAGATGCTGGATAGTTGTGAACAGTTGTATAGGTTAAATGTGTACAACACAAACCTTCACGGCCATGTGGGTGGTGTATCCCCTCTTGTTCTTCGGTCCCTGCATGATTTTTCATTAACTACATGTGAACTGGATGACGATGACGTCCCTGACCTGATAGAAATCCTCCCTGCTGGGCATGGTTTGGAAATCCTTGATGTTCAAGGCAATGCATTCAGTGTGGATGGTGTGAAGAAGCTTACAGCTCATATAAAGAATCTCCTTGAATTATCCATGTTTGTACTCTTTTATAAAGGTCCTGATAAAAAGCAGGTTGACAAGGTCGTCCTGGAAAATCTTCCACATGTACGGTATGATGGATGTATAGTAAAACGATATTAATTTGTTGATTTTCAGATGGACCAAAAACTTCCAAAGTAGGCTGTTGGGCTGTTTCCCTCGCATCGACAAATAAGTAATGCTGATGTGAGCATTATCACCAAGCCTACATGTATATTCTTGTATTATCACTGCCATGAGAAGTTGAAATATACATACAGTTTTTGTAGCGCACAAGAACCACGACAATTTAGGGGAGTGAAGAAGGAACGGTACTCTAGTTAAGTGGACAAGCATTCAAAATGTCAATATACATAACAATGACTATGGTGACGACTTTCTCCTGAACGTATATTATTTTATTCCTTAACAAGATAACATCTCAGTAATGGGCCTATTATACTATTACAAATAATAATAAAATGGCACAGCAACACAATATGAAGGTCAAAGTTCAACAAATGGCTGGCTGCACTCCACAATACAACAACGAATCCTCTCTATCTCGAAAACAACGCAATTTCTCCGACAAAAAGATGATATATTCCAAAACAATACTCACTGGGAGTTTCTAGGAAGGAACCCTCCACAGTGATTTTCATTACAAGCATATGGCCGGAGCCATGGTCCCTGCAAAATCGAGAGAAGTTACAGAGAATAATGGTATTGCTGTTTTGGTCTTCTCGTCTGCTCGAAGCTTACAGGAAAAGATGCAGTGATAAGAGGCTGTGGCGCGGAAAGCACAAAGATCACATTTATGCAAATGGAACATGCAAATCATTTGCAAAACTTTCATGTACAGAAAATGAGGGCGCACTTGGTCTCCCTATAACAGTGAAAACACCAATCAGGCTTTTTATTAGTGTGGATTACGAAGAGTAGGAAGAAATATTAATGACGATGAAATGGTACATAATAATAATAAAACAAAACAATAACAAATCACATACAGAAGAGCTAAATGTATCATAATTTAGCAGCTTTATTAACCCTCCTATGGAAACATGCATTCTGAGCAATGCTGTTATTCGGGTCAATATGGTCAAGTGATCCATTGGTTTGTTACAAGTATGCCAGGGGAAGTGGAAGGATATTTTGACCGTTGTTCTTTAGGCCAAAAAAAAAAGTCTCCGGTTTCTGGTATGCGCGCGCGTCGCCATAGCCATGCGCGTCGGCAAAATGAAAAAGTTTTTTTTTTCAATACAAGATGATGTCTCAAAACCGCCAAACTCACTGGTTTGACTGGAATCCTGCTGCTGCACAATTTTAACGTGTTATGAGATGGGGTTATGATCGAGAATAAGCTTTATGTGGCCTCTCTGGACTCCCATATATTTGCACTAAGTTTAGTCGGGCACCATTTGCAGTCATCAACCGACATTTGAAGCCCCCCCCCCCTCAAAAAAAAAAACAGGTAAAAAAAAAAAAAAGCCGCGTCGCCGCACCACTTTTGGGGCAAGCTCCATACCAGAAACCGGAGACTTTTTTTGGGGGGGGGGGCCTTATTTCACTCTGTCCTCTGGTTCCTGGTTCAAATCACAGGACGTTGCTTGCAAAGTGAACTTATTCTTCATTCACCATCGGGGCTACTGACTTAGCATTGCAGTGCTTGCTTGCCTCTACCCAATCGGTACCCGGATCATATCTTGACCTTGTGGATTGACTCCACTTTACGTGGTACCACTTCCCTTCCACCTGGCCTTATCCGCTGTTCAAATCCCGTAAGGGTAACTGCATTGACTGTGCTTGCTTGCCTGTGCACAATCGGTCTCCGATTCGTATCTTGACTTTGTGGATTGACTCAACTTTATGCAGTCCTTTGTGTTTCTCTTGCCTATCATCTCCCCTTGTCCATGGTTCGTGTTTTCTTAAGGTGCCTGAATTTCCTCAATCAATCTATCTGCTTGATCTTTTCTTGTGTCTTGTCTCTAGTTTGAGGTTCATATCAAACTAGGGTTTCTTTGAGGCTCATTTGACTCTGAATCGTGGTTGTTTGCATCGGACGTGTTTTCTGGAAATTTAGTGGTTCCGGTTCGATTCCAATAAAGGACAAGTACAGCTGCATCACGTGGTTTCCTGCCAAGAACTGTTCTGTCTCGTCCCTTTCTTGCTTCTAAGACTTAAATTTTCTTCCTTATTTTTCTCTCAATTCTAACGAGTCAACTGTGTTTGCCAGCGACATAACTGAACATTCCTGAACAGAGATAATGCAAACATACAACATAAATATATGAAGATAACAACAACAGTTTTTTTTTTCAAGAATCAGTTCAAAATTGCAGTGTGATGCTTAACAATTTGTCGTTTGCATTTCTTGACAGTTATTGAATTGCTGCCATTATAATAATAATAATGAGCCACACAGTGATGTTCTTAAAACATTAAACTTTGCGACAAACAAAACTTTGCAGTTATTAGCTATACAGGGTGAGTAAAAAAAAAAGGGAACCCAAATGGCGGGACCAATTTCCTAACAATTTATAAAGCATGTAGCACTATCACAATGTAGGATATGAAATTCCCATTATTAAGCTTTTTTTAGTACATGAATCAAAACTAAAACAATTCAAATTGGATGTGTGTGAATTGTTTTCGTTTTGCTGAAAAAGAACCCACACACCTTTTTAAGTGACCTGTGGACAGAACTTTAAAACGATGGTTGTGTTTAAAATTCAGTAACTTGAAAAGTACCTGAGTGATTGAATTATTCTTGTACTAAAAGAAATCTTATTAATTGGGCTTTCATATCCTAGATTTTGAAAGTGCTACATGCAGAACTTTATTAAGAAAATATAATTTGGGTTTCCGTTTTATTGACTCACCTTGTAGTGAAACAAAATTGTCAGAAATTAATCTATATGCCCCTCCTGAAAGAAAACTCATTGATATATATAATAGCGGTAAATTGGAACTAGAGAAATTTCTTGAGCTTAATGTATAAACGTTATTTTGTTACGTAATCGTTTATTTAACGGCTGAAGGAAGAAACCTTCAGATTTCAAAGCTTTTCATTTGCTGTAAATTTCAATCTTGTAAAGACAATTGTACATGTTGCCGTAATGTAGAATGAAACCAAGCAGGGTTTCATTAATGAGAATATGATGATTGTATTGTTAAGTGTAAGTAACTGTTGAAGCAAAAAACATCCACCTTTGAGACAGGTGTCTTTGATGTTTGCAATCCAAGTGAAAGTGTGTGGTAGACAAACACATGTTTTTAAAGAAAAACAGGTGATCAAAATGTATGTGGGCGATTCCATAAATGCGGGGGCCAATGGATTTTAATGTCCCTCTTTACATTGTGATATTTGTTTCCCCAGTATTACCAATAGTGAAATATGTACAAATGATTTTAATAGCTCAAATTAAAGTATTTGTACCTAAATATTTGGTAGCAACGGATGAAACATCTAACTAGTTTCCTGACAGTATGGTTGCCAGGTTTCACGTGTAAATGAACACCAAGGTTGTGACATTTTCAAACTGCTTATGAAATGTGTTTGTTGGTTCTTGTACAAATGTAGGTAATCAAATTCTGCCATGTGCTGTATGAAAAAAATTGCCCTTCATTATGTCAAAGCAAGTTAATACTGCTTTAGAATGGCACTATATTTAATTATTTAATATATCTAGTTGAGCGAGATTCACAGTGCGTCTGCCCGAACGTTTCACGTGTAAGCAAGACCCACTTTTTGGTGTCCCTGTTACACAGGACATTTGAGAAATCAAAACATTATTGGGTTCACTGGCATATCCAAATGTATCACGACTACTAATGGGTTCCACTTGATAAGTGTGAAATTTTACCAAAGAATGCATACTTGGAATCTTTTTCTTATTTGGGGCCATTTATTATGTTTCACGTGTAAATAGGACACCGAAATGGTGTCCCCTTATGCAGTCATGCACAGAAATGCTATTTTTTTTAGTCTGAGAAAGTTACTTTCACAATAAACATTGATGTGTTATCCTGGGTACGACCAAAAAAAAAAACATTTTAAAATAAATATTAAATACACTAAATTGAGCATAAACTATCACTGAAATAGCAGAAATATAATTTGGTGTTCCCTTTACACGTTAAACCGGGAATGGGTTTGACATGGTATTTTGGCATTTCTGGAGTAAATCATGTCTGGTTTGGCTACAATTAATGACGACTGTCAATGTCATCAAGTTATACTGAAACTTATTATTGAATCCCCTGGTAATTAATTGTTTTCCATTTTGGGTCAAAAAGTCACAAGTTGGCACCATAAGTTATGGAATAGCCCACATTAGTATCATTGTATGCTTACTGTATAAAAGCGGAAGAAAGACAACTTCTGCTTTTGGCACAATTTTTTCTTTGTTAAAATTTTCTCTGTATTCCGTAGAGGCTTATTTTTTAGCTACATCGTACCTTCAATGAAAATAAAACCAAACAGCTTTCAACATGTACTGTACATAGATCTCTAATGATATATTAATTAATTCATTTTCCATTCAATTGCTGATGTGAGGGAAGTTAAGATTTTAAACTTCTTGTGCCAACCATGTTTTTGTTTCTCGTGTTGACAAAAGCTGATGCAAGAAAACCAGCTGAAGAAACAAATCTTTTGTTACGTAATAACAATTGTTCACTTTGTAAGTATATTGTATAACAGCTGATGCAAGATAACTTCAGCTTTAAGTAGGAGGTTAATTTTTTTAAGATATACTCCCAGATATATTAATGACAGTGACTACAGAAGGACGTTTTGTAACTCTCTCTCTCTACCTGGCGTTAAAAATGAAATCAAGGTTTCAGCAATGTTTGCGAGAAATACACAATTAACCGACCTAACTGTCGTGTTGTTTTTAATCACTGAAATGTTTTGTGTATCCGGGATCTGTTTACCTTTATGCTTCTTTGTTTGGGTTTTTATGTAAATCATTTATATGAACAGGTTTCCGGATTGTCTGCAGGTCATTTTGACCTGGATACATGTAATTAATGATGCAATGTGATAATCTCTTCCATCATACTTTTGCGATATCTTGGGTTTATTTATTGTTCATGAAAATGTCGGAATTTTCGGCAAATGCCCTGGCTACGAGGGGAAACTTTCGCTTTGGAGATATAACAAAGAATGTAGTTTTGTATTCTAATTGACATAAAAATGTTCAGTTATTTTCTCTAGTTGTTCATAAGAGAACAACTGACACAACTGACTGTGTAAGTGAACTGAAATTGAATTAAAAAAATCTTAACATATATGTGCGTGAATTCAGCATGAAATGCAGAAAGAATCTCGCTCAAAAAGTGCACTTTTTCTTTGATATTAAATGTTAGGTGTTTAGTAAGAAACACAATAGACGAAATTCCACCGGGCTAACATTAGTACAGAGGCTTATTCAATCCAACCAATAAGGCCGAACAAAAATACTTCTGCTTCCGGTTTCCCTACCTATATTCTGACAGCCCCTACCCTAATGTATTCAATTGGGAATATGAGACAACAACATCCCAAACCATCAACTTTTACCTTTTACCCTTGACTACACTCAGACGCCGCCATATTAAGATCGTATACTTGGCCAAAAAACAAAACAAATTCCCTACCTACCTACCCTATTTGCAACTATCATGTAACCGGAAACAGAACTACTTTTTTTTGGCCCAATTACGCTCAGACATCAAATGTGATAATTAAAGTTGTATTTCTGACCACTTCTTGATTTTCAGGATTTGAGATTATATTTTTGCTATTCAAGAAAATTTAACAATTTTCACTGGTAATTATGCAATTGATGTTTACATTTTATTGTTTCTTCTAAAAATGGTAACTGTATGACAGGAACATTTTTATACTTCCGTATTTTTGCTAACCTCTTGATAACATTTGCAGTTGGACTATTTCATTAATAAACTGGTGTCAGAGATATTGTATATTTTGATTTGAATGT